GGTTGAGGTAGGAAGATAATTGCAAGTTTGAGACCAGCCTGGGCTACAAAGTGAGTCCAAGGCCAGCCTGAAGCCCATAGCGAGACCCTGCCTCAAAAAGAGAGAGAGAAAAAGGAAGGACTCTGCAGAGAAAAGAAGTGAGGTGATGCAGTGTCCTGAGGAGCTGCTTGCTTTCCAGTCCTGAGCAGCATCTCACACACATCAGGGCCATGTGTGAATTTCTGAGATCATTCCACCCAAGGGAAGTTAGAGGTGCCTTCTGCCGAAGTCACCTGCTCTGCTTCTTTATTTCAAAAGAGAAATGTGAAATCTTTTCACAAGCAAGAACCATAATAGCAAATAAGGGAAAGAACAGGGGTTGGGAGAGAGAAAAGGCTCGCCCACGCCCCGTCCCACACGGCTGGTACTGAGTCATGCTGGTGCCAGCCAGCCAGGCCTGTGTGGCCACTGTTTCTAAACAAAAGCAGGAACACTGTGTGCCGAGTCTTGGCTGCCAGAGTCAGCTCAGGAGCTGCCGTGCCAAGTGTTTCCAGTCCGTCGCGTTCTCATAGAAGGCTGTTGGTGGCCAGTTGAGAGAGTGGGAACCCGGGCCAGAGCTATTCACCACTTTTTAAAAAACGGCTTATTTTTTAAATTTTCTTTTAGTGTGAATTTTCTTTTTAAGGTTCACAAAAGAGACTTGTATCCTAGTCAAAGGGAAATAAATTAACACTGTCTTCTTAGCATGCAAAGTATTTGACCCCAAAACATAAATAAATCCTTTGCTCTAAAGAAAAAGTATTCTGTGGGTGTTTAAGAGTCCTGGCTTTTTGGCTCAGTGGAGGAGAAGGTGAGAATTTTGTTCTGGTTTTTATAAGGGTCTTTTTCACATTCAGTTTAAATCGCACTCACATGGTTCACTCTTGTGGCCTTACGCAGATTCGGAAGATGGGCCTGCAGACAAGCAGCATCAGAAGCTTCGAGGCCCTCACTGAGCTTGTGGCAGCCGCCAGGGACCAGGCAGCAGCCGAGCAGACCTGAGTGCCCTGGAAACCTGCAAGGAAGGAAAGTGGCTCTGTCCCCAGTGTCACTGACAGCACCTGCTTCCCTCTCAACATGCTTGGGTCCTCCATCACCCAAAAAGAACAAAGCCTTTTCCATTGTATGGAAGATAGTTTTTAAAGACATTTGCAACTTTTTACTATAGTTTACAGAAGATTATTTTATTTTTATTGTAAATCTTAGTATGAAAGAGCTGATTTCTAAAACAGGACTGAAGTGCATATGCAGGCATGGATAGGAAGCTGTCTTCGGACCTGTGGTGGGAGGGGTACCTGGTGCTGCAGCCCATCAAGAGATCTGTGGTGGTATGACTGCAGCCCTGGGCTTCCCAGACACCAGTGCCAGCCTCAGCTTGGCACAGAAGAATAGTACCAGGGATCCTGCTTGCCGGTCTCCTAACCTCTGTCTTGAGCAGAACTAGTAGGGAAGATTTATTTCCTAAATAAAAGCAGTATCTGCCGTAGGTATGTGCCTTCCATTTGTGATTTTCGGCACAGCAAAGTGTACCTGTCACTCGTTCCTGTACTAACACAGTCCCTGCCAGGAAGGTACCTCCCTCAGCATAACCAGAGAGTCCTGTCCACGTAGACCCTTGCTGAAGCATGTGGGAGCTCTGTCCCATGAAAGAATAATACGGCATCTTCTGCAGAAGCCAGTGGGCCCCGCCCCACAGGCAGCTCCTGCTGATGGGAGGCTTTCTGATGAAGAGCTGGAGCGCTGTGAGAGACCCCAGGGTGGAACTGGTTTACTCACGTGTACAGCGCCTGGCCAGTGCATCCTTCAGTCCAGCCTTCCCCATCAGAGACCTGGTATGCCTCTCTACCCACCCCCCACCCCCCGCCCCGCACTACATTGCTGTTCTTGCCTGTTGTGAAGCAGGAGGAAGAAAGTTGATTAGAAACCCCCTCCCGCATCATTTCCATCGTACAAGAACAGTGGCCCATAACCCAGACAGGATGGTCCCAGGCCCATCCTGCCAGCATCCTGCAGTCATACCACTGCTCTCAGCCCCCAGGAGAAAGTTCTGAAAGCAGAAGTACTCTGCCCCCACTACGCGGCCTTCTCCCTTTCTGATATGTCAGGACACTTGTTGAGTCTATGCAGGGTTTGGGAGCTTCTGGTTCGTCCAGAGTGATCTCTAGCAGATCCCTGACCCCATTATGCCGCAGCGCCCTTACCTAGCACAGTCCTACACCAAGCTTCCAGGGCTTGGACGTGATATGTCTGGGAAGCTTCCATTCAGCCACCTGTTCTTCACTTAACTCACCAAGGAAGGAAAAGAGAGGGAGCAGCCCACAATGTGGCTGTGTGGCCCAACTTGGGTGACATGTTGTGAGTCCAACCTTGGGTCCCGAGGAGGAGGAGAAAGTGGATTTGGAGTGACTATACACTCGTGTCCCGCTTGCTCCATGGGGTTGCAGGAGGAGGAGCAGCCCTCGGCTGCAGGGCAATGCTGAATGTACCACTGTGCCCCTTTGAAGCCTGCCACGGAGCTCCAGTAGCACGCTTCATGTGTGAGATGTCCCTGGTCATGGTCCAGGTTTCCCACCAAAGTTATAGCCTCAGAGCAGCTGTCATTGTTGTAGTCACCCTGTCAACTCCAGAAAGAGTTAGAAATGTATTGGAAAAGCAGACTGCTAGATGTAATACATTTGTGTTGAAGTTTAACACAAACGTGCAAAGTTTCAGTGTCCTGAGTCCTCGTACTGTCCCTGATATAGGCAGCCCAAATGTGCAGCCCAAGAAGAATCTGGCAACACACTGCTCCAGCAGCCTCCCCCGGGTTTGAGGAGTCAGCCACCTGCTGCCTTTCCAAATAAAAACGGGTCCACCAGGCATGCCCTTGTAATCCCAGTTCTCTGTGAGCTTGAGGCAGGAGGAACACAAGTTGAAGCCCAGTCTTGCAAAGCCTTAGCGACTTAGCAAGACCCTGTCTCAAAAACAGATCTGGGGAGGTAGCATAGTATGAAGGCCCTGGGTTCCATCTCTTTGTCACACACACACCACAGGTGTTCAGCTTCTGGCCACAGCAGCTTTCTGGAGTCTTCTCATCACAGGACCACACCCTAGCAGTGACTCCCGGACCCACTAGAGCAGAGTGGCTCTCAGGTTCACCACAGGCCCTGGTGCTAACTCTCAAGTGTTTAAGTGGAAGCAGTGTGCTGGGAAATGGGAAAGAGCAGCCCTGAAATCTATGGCCAGCCCACTCTTAGGCTCCACCTGACAGGGATTTTAGGAATCACATTTGGAGATGTCATCTGAGTATAAAGCAAGTGGAGCCCCACTGACTGGCCACAGCCCCTTCCAGCAGCCAGCTGAAGCAGATTTGTGAACTATTTAACATGGTGCAACTCAAATGCTGACATGTTGCTAGGCCTCCTGTTGGAACATAAATTCTGGGTCTGGATGCCTGAGACTGCCTTCTACTGAACACGGGGCTGCACTGCTGCAATCCCAGGGCCTCTGTGAGCAGTGGTCCCTGTGTTTTAACCCTCTCGAGATGGTACCTGCAGCCATTTAGAGTACCTAGATAGTGGCGTCCAACCCAGCCTAGCCCTTAGAGGGCAAGAGTCAGGTAAGCACTCTTGACCTGGGAATAGTGGGTCTATCCCTGCGGCTGTGGCAAGACCCCAGCCCACATAAACAGTGGGGCCTCGGGTCATCTCCATTTCAGTCACATGGGGGGAGGACAGTGGGGAACACAAGCCGAGCCAGCAGCAGGACTGCAGGCCCCACCACCACCAGCAACAGGCAATTAGGAAGACAGAGCACCCTGGTCTGCTCTGCTGCTGGGGGAAGCGACAGGCCTCAAGGAAGAGTGTAGTGCATCCTAGTGCCGCTGATAGGGCAGGAAGGAGGGTGCCAGCCCCAAAGACCAACAGAAGAGAGCCTCAGCCCCAGCTTTAAACAGGCACAGGGCCACCTGTAACCCCCAGGGTGGCCAATCATGTCCGTTCGTGCCAGCCCTGTGCATACCTGGTCAGCATCCCTGTCCAGAGGGGACTGAAGTGCTCCATGGGGTGGCCTTCTGGGGCCCCTAAGGGTGGCTGAGAGAGCCACAGGTGCATAGGGAAGTTTGGTAGGAAGTCACCACAAGCACAGTGGCTTAAGACAACTTAGACATAAGCCTTACAGGGCTGAGATCCAAGGGACCCCCGGGTGTGGACAAAGGGCGTGAGGGAGGACCCGCATACCCATCCCACCACCTTCTTGGCTTCTTGGGTCATTTCTGATCCTTGGTTTATGTCTTCAACTACCTTGCCTTCTTTCCTGTTATGGCTTACATCTAGCTGTTCCTCCAGAGCCTCATGGGGTCACAGATGGGACTTTCAGAGGTGGCTGGATCTGGAGTGTGTGATGCTGGAGAGTGTGTGGTTACTAAATCAGCCCACTGATTGTTTCAGCAGAGTGGAAGTGGGTATAGGAAGGCCCTCCCTGGATGTGAGTACTACGTGCCCTGGACAGAATATACAAGACAAAAAACTGCTGTGGTTGATTTTTGCTTGCTGCTTGATTGCTTTGCTGCCTTCTCCCTGCCATGAACTGTTTCATGGGGGCCATGAAATAGCAGGCCATGATGCCCCTCTGCCATGCCACCCTGCCTTGGAGCCAGGTGATTATGGACTGACTCTTTAAACTGAGCCAAATGAGCCTTTCCTCCTTTAACTGGGTTAGGGTGTTTTGTCTCAACAATGGGAAAAGTAGCTAACACATCTCCCATCTGCCATTATACCACTGTCAGTGACTGTCTTCAGTGCTCACCCTTCATTCCTCTTATAAGGACACTTGTGATTAGGATCACCCACATAACCTAGGATCATCTCCACTTCTAGAGCCACCTCTTTGCCACATAAGGAACCAGGGACAGTTGCAGGATTCAGAGTCTTGATAGTGGCCCCCAGCATGGCAGTGCACATCCCCATTCTGCTAACCATACACAGAATGGCACTTTCCAATAGTGGGGTTGTGACGTCTTTTAATGATGGTTAATGTATTCACTGTATCCATCTTAGCATTTGCTCTTTTACACATCAGAGCAGTGAGACCTGGAGAGGCTGGTCACATGGCAGTACATGAGTGGCTCCACTTCTGGACCCAGGACCTGCCCTCTCACCATGCTTCCAGTTCAGGCCAGGCCACACTCACACAACAGAGGACAAGCTGTCCCAGTGACATCAGAGCCAGGGAAAAACATCTAAGGACAGGGGAGACCTTTGGGAGAAGGTGAAATTCTGAGGACAGTCAGGAGTGGGCAGTGTATGTCCTCAGAGCTGCTGAGGTCCACACTGGCCCTGGGTAGTTCCAAGTGGGACACAACTTGGCATGTGTGTGTGGTGGTGCATAAGCAGGCAGAGCCCACACTCTAGCTGAAGCCCAGGAGGCTACACATGTGTGGTGGCCTGGGATTCCTGTGTGGTAACCTCTGCCTGGCTCTGCCCAGCAACCGGCATGCTGCACTGCTCACCTGCTCCAGCATGTGTGCCAGGAGGAAGGCAGAGCTCATGACACTCAGGAGGAAGCATAGCCCTGGCACAGTGGCCAGCCAGGTGCCCTCTTTGCAGCCCATCTCATGATTAGAGGCTTGTGGGCCCAATCCCATGAGATGGAAAAGGCAGGCACCACCAAGGGCAAGGCATATGCAGGTATGTGTGGGTGAAGCTTCCGGCCCTCTCCTCCACCCCCTGCATCAGGGGAATAGCTCTCAGACCCATGTCCTGGGTGGAGGTTGTGTTCAGTTCCATTTCTCTCCTGGGACTATGTACTAACAGGTTCCACAGCTTTGGCCATCCATACATGATCAGGCCCATCAGAGCAGACATGGCCAGAAAGCTCTGTCAGGATGACCATGTGCTGGTCTGGCCCTCCTGGAGCCCAGCAAAGGCCTCAAGAGCACTCTGTCAGCTCAATGGCATGTCTCTGCCACTAAGCGTCCTCTTAGCTTTTGTTAACAACACAGGGGTAATCACCCACTGTATTACATCCTAGCTAGATTCAGATGCTTGTGTCTTTTGTCTTTTTCAAAAATCACAGGAAAGAAAAACTAAGATATTTTGGAACCCCATGAAGGTCATGATCTCACTCAGTAAGCTAAATATAAACCCAAGGCAATAAAACAAAATGTGTGTTTTAATTTTGAAACCCAATTAAAAGCAAACTCCCTCTGGTTTCACAAATAGTTTGGTCATTTCCCATGCTTTCCAGAACAGGGAGCCTGTGCTATCCACCAGCTTCTCATTCTCATCTCTGTTCTCCAAGCAACCTGGCTGGGAGACTGTTTCTACTGCTCATTATCCATAGCATGGTGTACAGAGGAGACTATTGTCACCCAACATCACTCTTGGAAGGAAAGGAAGGGGTCTAGGGGTGACAGTCACTGACATGGCAGGGTGTTCTGCTGCCGGCCCTGTCCCATAGCCAGCAAGCAGCCCTCTAGGGCACTCTTCCCGACCTCACACCACACTCAGGGGGTTGTCCACACGGCCCAGGAAGTGCAGGGCACCTGCCTCCCTCTCATAGACAGCGAACAGGAAGGGGCTGCTCAGGGTCACCTCCAAGGCCTCCGGTGCGCTTGACTGGGGTGTAGACTCCGTGGGTTGCTTCCTATCATCTGCTTTGAGTTCAAAAAGGATGCTGTTCATCACCTGTAAAGCAGTAGACATGGGCCCCATTTCAGTGCTAGTGATGCAGCATCTTCAAAGAGCCAGAGGACAAGGCACTGTCCTGGCATTGTGTACCCTCTTCATCCTGGCCCAGCCCTGCCACAAAATCCAGGAGACCCTGAAGCCAGGCAAGCTGACAGGTCAGGGCTGCACCACAATAGGTAGCAGAACAGACCTGGCAGGGTCCTGCTATTCCCTACCCGCTCTGTCTCCAGCCCTGCTGGCCCCACCACACCTCCTCCCAGGTCCCACTGACCTCTCCCAGTGTCAGGTTGGTATCACTGATCCCAGCTAGGTTGGCCTTAGTGTCCAGCAGGGTGGCCAGCTTGGCCTGGGCCAGCAGCTCCTGCAGGTTGTAGGATGCTCTCAGCTGCAGCTGGGGCAAGGTCAGACGCATGGCCCTGGAAGATGACATGTGACATGGTTAGGGGTCCCGGAAGTCACATCTACTACAAAGATCTGGGGCCCACAGCCAGGGTCTTCTGCAATGTCCCTGAAGAAGTGTCCAGCCCCTCATACAGCCAGGCATCCTCCCTCGCCCTTGAAAAAAACCTTAACACCAAACACAACAGAACCTTCAGGCTGTTGGAAACTTTCCAGAAGGGCTAGGGGCCCCTGCTGGTAGGAATCTTGCTGACTATGAGCAACCAGCTTCTCTCTGTTCCCAGGTAGTCTCGGGCTGGCTGCAAGTCGGGTGGTTCTGAAAAGACCTAAGATGTGCCACTGTCTAAAGCCAGGAGAAATGCTACTCTGGCCATCCCCAGGGCACTCAGAATAGAGATGGGTTGAGGGAAGGGGCAATGTCAGCAGCCTGTGTAGCACGCTGTCACATTGTGTGTCTGCAGGGGTGGATGGACACGCACACAGTGGGCACTGTGCAGCTGTGAAGAGGAGGGGAACTCTCGTGGGACAGCTCTGGTGAACCTGAGAATACAGGGTCAGGGAGCCCGGGCATAATGAGGCTAAATGTCAGTTCCACATGATGGGCGTTCTGGAGATGGACAGCACTGTGACTATGCTTCATTCCAGCCATCTGAGCACTTTAAAAACTCAAAGTTGACATCAGGATGCCACCGACATCTGGATCTGACATGCAGGCTGAGGCCAGTGCGCTGGAAAGGACTGTTCTTGTCACAGCAGGAGCAGAGCCAGCACTGCCCTGCCCCTATTGGCCTCACACAACCAGCTCTGGTGCAGGGGCAGCTCCCTGGGGAAGCTGCCCGTTTCACAGGAGCTCCCAACCCCTACAACCTATTCTGAGGGGCTCTGGGTGCCTTGGACCTCCTCCATGTAGTTGAGGGACCAGGGAAGGTTGGGGTGTTTCTGTCCCTGAAAAACGGGACCAAATATTGTCTGAGAAATATATTTTCCCTCCTCTGCCAGTGCTTGATGGTGCAATGGAGACATGACAGAGAACACCCAGCCCAGCAGCCAGGTGGCACCCCAGCCACCCCACCTTGGGTAGAGGGCTAGTGTAGCACTCTAGATCTCAGTGAAGCAGGAGTTCCTACCGGGGAGATAGGTTATTCATCTGTGTCAGGAAGTCGTGGCTGAAGGCAAGGGGCACAATCCGGTCCAGGCTGGAGGTGCTGTGGGGCTGGATCAGCAGCAGGGCAGCGCTCTTGCCCATGGGCACACGAGTCACTGAGAAGTTATTCCGTGTGTCACTCCAGTGACGGAAGGTGCCAGAGCCCAACATCATAGGGACAGACACCGAGGTGCTGTTGTCCACCCAGAACATCTGAGGCTCAGCCAGTAAGGAGAAGCCCTTCATCCTCCCTGAAACCAGACAGAGTCAGAAGGGAAGGTCAGTGGGTGGCAGGCCAGGGAAGGGCAGTTGGACAGGCCTACACAGGCCACTCCCACCTATTTCCAGCTCAGCCCTTCCTTGCCCGCTGGGCCAGCTTTGTCCTGGCCATGGACTCCACCCATCCAGAGCCTGATGCTGCTCAGGTCTTCGCCCTTCGTGGGCCAGCCACTGCTGAATGCCTGGCTGGGCCACCCCAGACCTGAGCTAGCGATGTCGCCTTAAGAATGAACAATACCACCTGACTAGCTGGATCAAAACCGAGGTCTGCCCTGATCCCAAACTTCTAGTTTGCCACACTAATTATTTTTAAAATAGACATTTTAAAAGTGCTGTGTTTAGGTTCACAAAATTGAGCAGAAAGTGCAGAGATTTTCCATATAACTCCTGCCTGCCAGCATCAACACCTCACGCCAGTCTGTTTACTATGACTGTGTGTGTGTGTGTGTGTGTGTGTGTGTGTGTGTGTGTGTGGTGCTGGGGGTGGAGCTCAGGGCTTTGCACATGCCAGGGGCAAGCACTCACTACTGAGCCACACTCCCAGCCTCTGTTTGTTACACCTAAGGCTATGTGATCAATCATTGTCACCCAGAGCCTACAGTTCACACAAGGGCTGACTCGTGGTTTGGGGCACTCTGCTGGGCTGAGTAATACACAATGACATATGTCCATCACTGCAGTGTCATACATAGTCATCTCACCACTCTAAGGACATCTGTCCTTGTCCAGCTGTGGCAGAACCTGCACCAGTCCTAATTCCAGGTCCCCACCCCACCTCCCAAAGTCATGGATCAGCCCAGCACCCAGGACTCAGAGTGAAGGACCCACTTCTCTGCATCCCTGGCCAGGAGGGAATAAAGAGACATACAACTCTGCTGTGATCCTGGACCTGAATGTGGGCCTTGTCCGGGGCTAAGGCTGAGGCGGAGAGCCGGGAAGCTGCGCTTCAGGCTGAGCTGCCCCCACCTGGGTGCGTAGAGAACAGCTGTGAGTGGGGTCTCTCTGGGACCTCTTCCTTGACCTCATTCCTGCACGCTTGCTAGCTCGTGGGGAAGGCACTGCTGGGGGGCATTGTGAGAAGAGGGGTTGACGACAGCCCATCACAGTGTCCAGTAACTGGTTCCAAGGAAGCTCAGCAGGCCAGGTTCCTGTGGTCCTGAGTCAGGTTCCCAAGCTGAAGATGGGGCCACTGGGAGTAGACAGGAGTCCTGGCAAAAAGGGACTGAATAAAGCGCCTACCTATCAGGACCCAGGTCTTGTGGGGCTAGAGGGGCATGGTCCTCCATCCTCAGAGCCCTGCAGAGATAAGAACCACTCCCAAAGGCCATGTAAGCAAGAAGCTGGGTGTCCCTCACCCTGTCCCCAGGGGACCTCAGCAGAGGCTTTTTATTTTATTTAATCTTTTTTTCTTTTTTTTGCACCAGGAATTGAACTCGGGACCTTGCGCTTGCCAGGTAGGCACTGTGCCACCAAGCTGTGTCCCTGACCTGAGGTTTTTTATTTTAAAATGGAAAAGCCTGGACTTTCTCCCCCCAAGCAACTGAAATAAAACATGATGTGCCGAGAAATGCTGGACTTTGCCATGGGGAGGGTGCCCTTTTGTCCCCATTTTACCCTGACTTGCCAGCCCCATCCAGAGGTTAAGTCAGTCCCTGTGATTCAACCCAACTGGTGCCATGGAGCCTGCCAAGCCCGGGGGCACTGAATACTGGCAAAAGGAACCTGTGACCTCAGCCCAACACCCTGAGTCACATGCACCCAACCGCCTGCTGAGGAGACCCATAGCTCCTAAGTCGGCCTGCTCATCTACAGAAGGACAAGCTGGCACAGGAGGATTTCCATCTGATGGGAATTGAGACCAGAAGGTCAGCGCAGAACATGGGGGTGGGTGGCCGCCCAGCACTCTGACTTCCTTCCCCTCTTCTTCACTTCCTGTGTTTTCCCTCCTCTACCTCTGCAGTCTGGACTTTGATACTGGGCCTTCTTCCCGAGTGAGACTTCCTTCCTACACCAGTGTCTCTCTGCCTTCACCGTGGGGACTGCTGCTTCTCAAGGCGTCCTGAGGATAGCAGGCTCATCCCCCAATTCCCCTCTGCCCTGCACAGGGCCTCCTTTCTACACCCATGATGGCACCTGACAGTCCCTCAGCCTATCCCTTCCTGGCACCCAAAGGCAGACACAAGGTCTTTTCAGAGACTCGGCATATGATCACGGTGGGAAAGCAGCAGGCACAACCCACTTAGCTCCATCCCTATTGCTCTGTCTGCAGCTGCCTGTGTGGCACTCTGACCCCCAGCTGTGCATCTTCCTGTAGAACCACATCAACATGCCCCTCCCCAGCCGGCCACCCATTAATTCACAGATCTGGTGCACATCCCTGTGTCTGGACTGTCGCATGCATAACCTTTGGATGTCCTCCCTGCCTACATGCAGCCCCCGCTGTGGGCTGCGTGGATGGGTCTGAGCAGGATCCTCTTCCTCACTCCCCACTAGGCACAAGCTCCCTCCTTGCCGCAACACATTCAGACTCCCTGTGCTCTGGCTGAGCCAGCTGCTCCATCCTCACTTCTGCCCTGACCACCACAGCCTTTGCTCAGATGATTCCTTCAAGCCCCCACCCCACACCCTCCTGACCTTTATTCACTGCGCTCTTTCATCTGTAGCTTACACCAGGCTCCTGCCCTTGGGGGTCACTCCTTGCTTGTCTTTAATATGTGAGCTGGGTTAACACCTGCTCATCCTTCCTCTCGCCCATCTGAGATCGCCCACTCAGTCTTACACACTGGAGAGCTCACTGCATGAGTAAACAGTCTTTATAGTAGGGCTACTCTAGTGAGACCCATCCTGATGAGAAAATAATATAATCAAGGTAAGCACCCACCCCTGAGTACACTGTAGCTTGTTTCTGTGTGGGCCAGTGACCCTGGTCCTGGCAGGGAACATAGGCTGTTGCTGAGGGCTGAACTCTCCTGAGCAACATTCTTGCTCCCCTAGTCTCCACTGCTTCACCAGTAAACAGAAATAGCTGTTCCTTTTCAGAGGGGATTGAACGATGAGGGTGCAGGGCCACCCCGGGCAGTGGATGGATGGGTGAATAGGCACCTACCCAAGGGCCCACCAGGCAGCCTCCTTCCACTCCTCCAGGGAGGCATACAACTCCTTGCACATGGCTACTGCTCTCATCCCCATGGTTGGCCTGCTTGGTGCAGCCCACACTATGAACGCTGAAGTCACCAGGGCCAGGTTCACCACCTTTGGGCAGCAGCCAGGGCCAGGCTGCCAGGGGACTGTCCTTACCTTGGAAGTGGACATAGGTATTGAACAACAGGGTGCTGCCTGGACTGACTGTTGTCAGGGCTCCACCCATCTTCCACCCTGTCACAGCCTGCAGGAACTTGTTGATTTTCTCAGCCGCAAGATCTGGATCGGTGGACAAGTCCAGAGAGCGCGGGAGGATGACAGGCGCAAAAGGAGCCAGGCTCAGCACAAATGGTTGCTTCAGGTGCAGGCCGGGGGCCGTGAACAGGGCCACCACAGTGGACAGCAACATCTGGGCCTGGCCGCTGGCCCTGCCCTGGGCTACCAGAAGACCCTGAATGGCTTGTAGGGCAGAGAGGACCTTGTGCCCATCCAGCCGGGAGGTACAGCCCTGGTCCTGCATGGGAACACCCAGTAGTGCCTGCAGCTGGCCGGCTGTGGGGTCCCTGGCACCCAGATACAGAGAGGCCAGAGTACCAAAGAGAGCTGTTGGGGAGAGGATGGCCCCACTGGCTGTGCTCCCCTCCTCACTCAGAGTCTTGTACATGCGGAAGCCCAGGAAGTTGGCCATCATCCCAACCTGAGTGGCCCGCTGCCTGTCTTCAGGTGCAAGTTGCTCAACGGCCAGCACCAGCTCCTCATGCAGGGCAGCTTCATTCACAGGGGAGGTCTTGGCCTGCACCAGAACAGGTGTGAAGGTTGCCTCCTTGGGCGTCTCCACACTGGACTTCTCCAACTGAATACAGCTGCTCTTGGGGTAGAAGAGGAGGTGGAAGGGGTGGATGTACACACGGTCGCCAGCAGCCAGGCCAGCTGAGGCCAGGAGACAAAGGATGGTGGCCTTAACACCCATGCTGGTGAGAATCATCTCTATACCCTGAAAAACACTGTGGAAGAAAGGAAGTGGTTATCCAGTGTTCTCCCAGACTATTGGTCATCCAAGCAGCCAAGTAGCTTTAGAGAAACCCATCCATGTCTACAGGAATTATTAAGTAGCAAAATGGACTCAGAGCTGCATGGAAAGTATCTACACAGTCCGTGAAAAACTACAGGCTGAGCTGCACCCTATAGATTTATATGCTGGAACCTACACCCCAGGACTTGCGACTGTATTTGAAGACTTGGTGACTGAGTTAAAGTGAGGTCCTTACTGTGAACCCTGACTCAATCTAACCGGTATCATAATAGGAAGAGACGATCAGGACACAAACACACACAGAGTGGGGATACAAGGAGAAGACACCCGCACACTGAGCGCCAGCCCTATCCCCACCTTGAACTTAGACTTTTGCACTCCAGGGTGGAAAACAATACAATCTGTATTGATGCCCCCAAGCTGTGGCACTCAGCCCTGACAGGCCAAGTGACACCCATGATAAAGGCAGTCACTTCTCTAAAGAACCTGCTATATGTGATGCATCTAGGTACTTGAGGGTCGACCTCCCTACTCCATGATAATCTCACAGCTCTGGGGTGGGTCCCAGGAACAGGTTCTAGAGTCCTCAGATCTTGACATGCAGCCAGGGTTGAGCACTGTGGGCATTTCCCTGTCATCTCAAGCTCTGAGCTACACCCTCACAGCCCCCAGGAGACTCCAGGACTCTGCCTGCCCAGTCTGCCCAGCCCACCCCACCCCATCACTCACAGTCAGCCTCGATGGTCTGTGTGGGTTCAGGAACAGACATGTTAACTTTTCAAGTCCCTGTCTTATACAGCCAGGTTTCAGTGTCCCCACCATATAATCCTGACCCTCTGTGTCCTACCCCACTTGGCTGTGGTAGACACTGGAGCTAATCTGGCCTGGTTCCCAGCACTGGGGACCCCTTGGAAGGGCAGCATCCCAGCCCTGAGCCAAGGCCAACTTGACATCTGTCTTTTCTTGCCTTGCCTGTGTATGCTCAGTCCTTTCTCTTACACTGTGCTGTGGTTTGGATGAGTGTTTCCCAAAGCCCGTAAGTTAGAGACCTGGGCCCCAGCATGGTGTTGTTAGGAGGTGGTGGAACCATCATGAGGAAGGTCTTGTTTTGTTGACCACGTGCCTCCCTAATGCCATCCACACCCTCCACAGAGAGCTCAGACTGGGAATTCTGTCCATGAGGATAGAATCCATGAGGCATCATGAAACTTTTCACTTTAGAAATTAAGTGATCAGACTCTCCTACAGTGACCTGAAGCTGGTTGACCTGCAGTATCCCACATCTCATGCTCAGCTCAGTAAACCCTCGTCTGCCCCTTACATGGTGAATCTGCAGAATTTCAAAGCGTGCTCTATTCTGCTCCAGGCTCCTGACCACCAGACCTTTGACTTCTGACCAGCACCACTTCACCCTTGGACTCACCCCACTGTTCTCACTGGAAGCCACTAGGCATGTTGAAAAGTGACGCTCCCTACAAGAGGTACCTGCAGGACCTGCTTGTGCTGTTGTAAACGGGGTCAGACAAGGCCATCAGGGGCTGTGGTAGCCAGGACCTGCTTACCAGTGCCCACAGCCTGTGAGATACAGGTGTGCACAACTCTCCCCACTCTGCAGTGCCAAAGAAGGGTACTGTCACTTGGTTGGTGTCATAGCCTCTGTCATCAGAAAAACTCTCAAGGCCACTGTCACAGGGAGCAGTATCATAGGTGCTGTACTGGGACAGGGTCATACTGTTTTCGGGCAGAGGCAGCTCTCTGGTCTCTGCTCTCTGCTGAGGTCTGCTGCCGAGTTTGTCTTTCACTGTTTCCTACAGTGTCCTGACAACAAATGGACCGCTCCCCCAGTCTCTCTTGTGCCCTGGTCTCATGGTTTCTTTCATACTACCCACTATTCGCAGGCACTTCTCAGCACTGTCTGGTGTTGACATCCTGTCCCCAGAATGCCCTCACCCGCTAAATACATCCCACTCTCCCCCACACACATAACACTTGCCACCCTCAATCACTCCTCACTGTAACCCAGTATTTATTCTGCACCTCTGTGTCTGTTCCCCACCATGAGAAGGCAAACCCAATGAGCATGATCCCCTAGCCAGCAAGGACCACATCCCCAAAGTAGTCCTAGACATGACAAGTCCCAACAAGGAGTTGTCAGGTGAAGTCATTAATGCTGTGTTGAGCAGGAACAGACAGGCCTGGTGACTTGCTCCAGGTCACACAGCTATAAGAGACAGAACTAGAGCTTAGATGAAGAACCCGGATTCTATAGGTGGAGTGTCATTACCAACCTATGTTGCCTCTTGGCAAAGCAAAAACCTGCCTTGTTGGTGTCTGGAAGGCACTTTTAACTCTGGAGCCTGTGGTAGTTGGGGGCCCAGATAACAGAGGAGGAAGTCTTGATCCTGGGGACACAGTGAAAAGCCAGATTACCCTGGCATGGCATTGAGTCTCAGATCAGAGACATCACCTGAGGGTCACAGGCGACTGTATTGCCTTTAGCCATGGGTGACCACCAGGACCCCCTATACCCACCAGCCCTGTGGCAAAGCCTCATTCTTCCCTGGGACTGGAAGAGGTCCAAGTTCTCAACCAGGGTGATGCTGGCCTCAGGCCAGTCTCTTTTCCTTTGAGGTCCAGCTCTGTTAGGAAGCAGGAGGATCTGACCACCCTGCCTTGTGGCGAGGGAAAGGAGCCCCTGGGAGGATAGCTTTTCAGGAAAAGGTGGCTCGGAGACCATGTCCTATGTGGTGGTGGCTAACACCCACCCTGGCTCTGTGCTCTGAATAAATGCCGAATGGCTTTTAGCAGCCCCTCCTGCAGCCCCCACCCAGCCATTCCCCTCTGTCTTCCACCCGGGTACGGCAGGGAGTCTCTGGAAGAACTTCACTCACCTGCTTTATCCCGGACAGAGGAGCGCAGCTCTTCCCTGGCTGGCAGCGCAGGCCCCATTTATACCCGAGGGGTGGGAATGGAGCCATTCCCAGCTGCTCTGTACACAGGGTGGGGGAGGCGGGAGGACAGCCCTGGGTAGGGATTTGGCTGCTCTGCTCGGCCAGGATAACTGTCAGGCTGGGCCCCTTCCAGGAAGGCCTGAAATCAATGCAGCCCTGCTGCTGAGCAGATGAGTCGGTTTGGGTCCAGTTACATATTTACCCCAGTTTGCTGGAGGTGGGGCCACTGTTACCAGACTTGGGCGGGTTGTGACTGTCTGTGGCCCACCATCTAGGCCTTCACTCTGAACCGTTAATGACGCACTTCTGGAAGGCCACAGGATGTGCCGGAAAGGGAACCCTGGAAGAGGAAGTCGTGCTCAGGCCCCTGAGGCAGCTGTGATCATGCTGCTCAAACACAGGTTACCGTTAGGGTTTATAATGACCTTGACCTCAAGTAGGTGCCATGAAGGTTACATTTGGCACCTAGCCCTCAGGGCCTCTTTGGAGATGCAGGAGCAAGTGGCATTTCCTAGAAGCTCCCTGTGCAACAAGAGTCTGAGAACAGCAACAATGGGACAACCAGGTCAGAAATAGGGGACAGATGCAGCCAGCCAGCCTGGGAGGTTCCAGAGAGTCAGCCCTCAGGTTTGCAGAGGGTGGAGGCAGACAGGAAAGGAGGGGCTTCAGAGGGAGGTTCTTGTGATACCAACAATGTGGGAATGTGAGGAAGGCAGGAACACAGAGGCCAGAGTCCTGGCAAGGAGGGTGGTAGGAGCAAAGACCTGGCAAAATACAGCTCCTGCACATGTCACCATGCTTGTCAGCAAGCTCGAATGTTCATGACATCTTCCTTGCCAACACAGATGACCCCCAGCTTCAGACCAAATGATTCAGGAGCTGGGCAGACAGAGACAAGCTGCTTGCACTGCACACCCAGGGTGGAATTGGATCACAGGAGCCTAAATACCATGCTCAGGAGGGGAAATCGATGCCACCAGGTATGGGATGGGTGGCATCAGAGCCACAGGCAGAGGTGGGACCTGGGGCTGGACTTTGGTGCAAACAGCTTCTGTGAGTGACAGGTGAGAGCAGCTGGAAGAAGGAGGCCAAAGACTGTGGTTGTCACAGTTGTAGGCTCAGGGGACTGGGAAGGCTGGAGCCAGCGCACAGGGAGGAGTTGCAGCAGATAGACCGGGCTCTAGGGAAGAGTGAAAGTCTTGCTGGGGGCAGGGTGTACACCTGGTGAGGTGGGAGGTGGCTGCAATGCACAGGAGGAGATCTGGGCTGAGACACTCCAAGGAGACACACATCTGGTCCGTCCCATTCCCAGCTCAAAGACCTGAAGCCCCTGCAGCTGCCTGAGTATGAAGGTGATAGGACATCTCTCCTCCAGCACTTGTTAGTCCCCAGCTATTGAGTTTTAGAGACCCCTGGATTCCCCCAAGTACTGAACATCCTTTGTTGTTCATGAGATTCGTGAGGTAATTTGGGGATGGAGCCAGTGGCTAGCGGAGCAGCTATGGGATCAGAGGTCACCCTCCAGCCCTGACCCCTGCTGTGGGGTTGGCACCATTAATAATGCCTCTGGATCCGGGCTTTAAGAGCAGGCCCAAAAGTGGGGTTGAGAACATCCATGTCGGTGAATACATCCAACCCCCAATCAGGGTTCCCTGATTCCCCAGAGACTCCAAAGGTTTCTGTGCTGGGGCCTTTTCAGCTCTTCACCTGCCCATATGCTGCTTGTGATAAGTCAGCAAATGAAGATGAATGACTCAATAAATCATCCTAGAAAACTCACAGGAGAGGGCCTGGGAGCCTCTGACACATCACCAAACTGGACAATATTGTGGGTGACATAGGACTCACTACATTGACTCTTCTCTTGGGGACCTGTGAACGTGAGCCTACCGCATAACATTCCTGTCTGACTTCATGTCTCCTGTGCCTGATTAAAACAGATCCCAGGAATGTTTTCAGCCCAGGCTGAAACAACCCACCATTTGAGGCAGGTCAAAAGTGACAGACTGCTGAAGAGACCCATGTGAGGGCCACACAGGCTCCCCCAGCTCTTCCTTGTCCTGTCCATAGTCCCTGAGATCCCTGATTAGTCCATACCCTGTCAGGCACTGTGCCAGGCTGCCTAACCAAGTGGGTCACATCTGCTTCAGTGACTGATGAGACCACAGAGCTGTCCCCAGAGCTCATGCTCACACGTATGTCCTCACACCAGAGCACTGAGATGGGTGGGTGTGTGATGGGGAGGCCTGGCACTGGCCAGAAAATGAAACAGCTCATCTTCCCTCTGAGGAAAGTGGTGAGCGTGCATGTATGTGTGGTGTGTACACCTGTGCATGTGCATGGTTTGTGTGGCCACATCTGAGACATGCGTGGGGACATGCACTGCCTTGGGTATCTGGCCTGGCTGAGTGGACCTCCAGATGCTCCCCAATCCTCTCTGCAAATGAAGACACTCCACTCCACACTCTTTTTCCTCTGGTCCTTCCCCAGCTCCACGTGTGCTACTGTGCACTCCCTGCTCTTCTTCATCCCCCAGCCTGGCAGGTCAGGACTCTCCTGTTCATTCTCCTCCGGGACTCTTGGGCTCTCCGGTGACCCCTCAGTCAGGTGTCCCCTGCACATTGGCTGATTCCTGTCCAGTTCAGGCCTCAGACCGCAGGCCCTCTCTGTCTTCACTTCTGCCACCCACTCACTCCCAGGATGCAGGCCCCAGCTTGGGGTCATTACCATCCCCAAATTATACCCATGTAACTCACCCGTTTCTAGATTGTTTGAACCCTGAGAGTCCATGTCACACATGACGTATCTTTCAGGACATTTGAAGCAGCTGCTCAAAGGATCAGCACACATCTAAGTTCTCTGCAAACTTTTTACAAAGACAGGCGCTGCAAAGAAGCCAGATTTCTCTTACTGATAACATGTTGTTGAGAGGAAAATAAGGAAGAGATCAATGATAAGCCAGACGAAATAGTGAATGTCTGCTTAAAACTTTTGCAGCATTCCCCTCCCAGGAAACCATAATACCCAAGATCCAAGAGCAGTCTTCTGGTTGAGACTCATTAAAATAAATCAGGAGTTTTCCAGAGCATTTTCTCTGATCTGCTATTTATCTCCCTAGGATGCAGCCAGTCATCACACAGTCTTAGGCTTATGGTCCAACCCAGACCTAGGAAGATTTTCATCCCAGCATTTTCACACTGTTTTTTCTGTGTTCATTCTGACTATGGGAGTCAGAGACTGGGAGTCAGGGAGTTGGTCTGCAGTCAAATGGGGCTGGATGAATGAAAAGTAAATGCTCCATACAGAACCTGGGATGGATGCAGCTCCCACTGCTGTATGTTGGTCATGGGAGCCTGGATGGCTTTCATGTGGGTCAGCTCTGCTCTGGTGAGAGGTGAGCGGAGGTCTAAATCAGAACACCCCCTTTTCAACCTCCTGTCCACCCAGCCAGGGGAAACAGACAAACAAAGTGAGCCATAGCAGAAAAAGATGGGTTCTTTATGGAGGGGAAGGTCTTTAACTACACACGCAATGTAATCAAACTTAGAACCAGCATGGGAGGTGAGGCAGGAGCAGAGGGTTAGCGCAAGAGTAGAGGTGTCACTTCTGCCTCCAGGGAAAAACTAACTGCTTCACAGGGCTTTGTTTATGCCTGGGCCAGAGCTGCCATCCTCACAGGACCCTGGAAGGGGCATGTGACTAGAACACATTCACTGGAGGCCAGGGGACTGAAGAGCAGTCTGTCTTCATCTCGTGTGATGAGGGTACCCTGGGAAATGGGTCCTGATTTACAAAGCAGTTATTGTATGCATTGAAGCGTACAACGCAATGCTTTTATGCACATACAGATGTTGACTACTGCAGTTCAGCAAGTGAACATTTCTATCATCTCAGTTTCCTATTTGCTTTCTTTGTGAATCAAGAGCATCTAAAACTTCCTCCCTCCACCAAAGTCCTGAGCACTGCCTGACAGTAAGCCAAGCCCAAAAGCTGCATGTCAGCTCTCCAGGCCTGCTCATCCTCCACACCTGCCTCAGTCTCTGAGTTCCCTCCTACAACCCAGTGGCCACCATCTTATTCGCAGCCTCCGTGTCTGTGACAATACTTTTCTCCACATGCAAGTGAGGTCACACACAGCCTTGCTCTGGCTGGTTCTTTTCCATCATAAACCATCTTCCACACTGCTCTGCACAATGGCCAGTCGATGGCATCCTTGCATGGGGCTGAACAGTGTCCTGTTGTATGGGCAGGGTGCCTCCTCTGTCCTTGTGGGTGGTATAAGCTGCTCCCCTGCTTTGGCACTGGGCTCAGCAGGCCTGGGTGCAGACATTGGTGAGGAGCTGCGTTCCTTAACTTGGGGAACACAGCTGGAAGTCTGCTGTGCTGTTAGACCCTGTGGACATCATATGTACCGCACAGTTGCCTGTGGCCACTGTATAAGCTGTCTCCTGTGGGGAGGCACAGGTGTAGACAGGCACAGCCAGTCATAGACTGAGGATAACCCGAGAAATAGGTTCTTTGCTTGCCCATCTCAGCGCCAGCTGACAAACACATGTCTCCAAGTCTGGCCTCTGATGAAATGTGGTAATGAACTTTGTGTTGAACATTGTGGGGTACTGGCTCTGCCCCTACATCCATTCCCAACCCATTTCTCCTGTGTCCATCTCCACACTGATGTGGAGAAATCAAAACACTCACAGTTACTCTATTCAATAGCTCAAGTAAAATGTTTCTAGCCGAGGAGACATGCAGAAATCTGCCAAGGAATCCGGAAGAGCCTTTGCTGTCCTTTGATCAGCAGTTAGTGCTCAGACTCCACCATCCTCCTTCCTTCAAATGTTGCAGTATCTGAAGTCACAGCTGCCATCTTGCAGCCACGAGGCAACGATTATAAGAACCAAAGGCCAACAAGCAAAGAGGTAGGGAAAACTGGGGGCATTGACAGGCTTATATACCTACTTCACTAGTATCACTGGTTGTCCACCTGTGGGCCACCTCCTGTTTGAGCTGTAGTAAATTTTCAGACAGCTGCAAATGTCCTAAAGTGACTGTGGAGGTCTACCACATTGCCCTCCCCCAGACCCAAATGTGGTTATGCTTACTTGCAAGCAGTGCAGGCTGTATGGAGGG